AGTCAATGCCGGAATCCGGTGGGAAAAAAAAGTTTTGGAAAAAAAAATTTTGAAAAAAAAAATTTGGGTCAAAATTGAATAATTTGTGAAATTTGGGGTCAAATTGAGATTAAATAAAGTTAAGGATGAAATTGGAGCATATTAAAGTATGAGGGGTTATTTTAGTCCTTTACAAAAATCTGGACCATGTGTGGACTTATTGGTAAAGAAGTTTTTTGTCTTGATCTCTTTATAAATAAGTACCCAATGATGGGCTTATTTGTAAATACCTCGTAAAGTAATGCCTTTTTTTTCGGACATAAAACCTATAACATCTCTTGCATTGTACTCCCTCCGTTCCTTTATAATTGTCGTTTTTAGCTTGTGCACAAAGATTAAGAATCTCAATAAATGTTGCTTAATTTTAGAAAACTATATGTTCTTATACTAAAATGCCCTTGTCAATAATTAATGTGAGGGAGTGTTTGAGATAGTTAATAAGGGTAAAATTGATAATTAATGCAGTATTGGAAATGTAAAGTGACAGATAATATGGAACAAAAATAATTTAAAAAAGAGACAGTTATTGTGGAACAGATGGAGTATCTTTTTATACAAAATGAGTTAACGCTACGTTAACTTGAAAAATTCTAATGGTATATTTGTAATTATATATATTAATTTTTTTTCATTTATCTCCTATTTTCCATTCCCAGATCAGAGTTGCAAATTCATAAGCAAAATTTTAATCACATTTAAAATGTATTTATTTATTTTTTACCCTAATGGAATAGTCAAAATATTTTAAATTATTTCTTTTTTTTTCATTTTTAGGGGATAATTATTTTTCTTAATATTATAAATACTAGTACATGGAGTATTTAAAAAGGAAGATAGTTCTCCAGAGACTTCTCCACATTAAGAAGTACAACACAAGAAGAGAAAGAGTAGAAAAATAAACGGTGAATCAAAAAGGAGAGGTAGGATTTTCAAATCTTAGCTTATAAAGTATGAGATAAACGGCCAATATCAGACCGTTTGAATTAAACGATCAACATCAGTCAAACCACTTAAATCGAGCTTAAGTTAGCTAATATGCTCATCCGAGGATTTGGCTCCTCGATTCTTGTGTTTAAGGGCCCTATTCACACATTAGAAAAAATATATTTGGCCACAAACACTAACATAAAGATTTAGATTTTTTTTTTTCTTTTTTTTTTTTTTTTTTTTTTTTTTTTAATGATATGTTTAGAATATCACATTCCTCCACAAGGGGAGAAGAACCATTATACCACTTAAAGTTATACAGTAGAATATTGTTAATTTAAGCAGCTTGAATGGAAATATCAAATTCCTTAACCATAATTTTGACGCTAATATTTGATAACTAGTTTTCATATTTTTGCATTGGAATTGCTCTACTACTCGATTAATCAACAATAACGACCTCTTGCCAATTGATTCTGAGTAGCTTTATCAAGATCTGAAGCAAATTGTGCAAAAGCTTGATCTCGTTTAAATAATATTTGGTCCATCCTTAATTTTACTTTGGTTAATTATCCTAGTTGATGTTGAGTCCATCTATTCAGGGGCGGAACCAGAATCAAAATGTAGGGGGAGACTAACTAAAATTTTGGGGTTCGGGGCAGCGCAATGTAAAAAAATTTAGGTTCACAAAACATTGCAAAAAAATAAGTTTATATTACTATTTTTTTATTAAAATATCATATATATTATAAGTATATCATATTTTAATCATCACAGAAAATTCTAAATTAATTTAAATTATTGGGTAAATTGCACTTAACCCCCTTGTGGTTTGACTATTTTGCACATGACCCCCTTGTGGTAGCAAATTAGGCACATTACCCCCTTAAGGTTTGATTAAGGTAGCTTCTATTAACACCATTAACAGAAAACTTGAAAAGACAATATTACCCCTTAAAATAAGGCAAAATCACATCCGCACCAACTGGTGGTTGGTTTCTAGAATTTCCATTTCTTCTCTTGTAATTTATTTATTGTAACTTAAAAGTATGTACCGTTTCTATAATTCTAATTTTCAATCTATTTATTTGCTGAAGTCCACTTCTAAAAAACAATTCTACGGATTTCAAATTTAACTGCCACTAATTATTATTATTATTGTTGTTGTTGTTGTTGTTGTTGTTGTTGTTGTTGTTGTTGTTGTTGTTGTTGTTGTTGTTATTATTATTATTATTATTATATTTGTTATTTTTATTTTTATTTTTATTTTTTTTGAATTTTTTTTAAGTTTCAAAGTTTGAAAATCCTAAATATAATTTTTATTTTTCTGAAGCTTCCAAAGTTGGATGAATATATAAATTTCAAAAGTAATATTTAAATTAATTTCTTGAATTTCCAATTAAATCAAAAAAATTGTCCGAAAATGTGATATTTTAACCCACCAAACTCTATCCCTAATCATATATCATACACAATTAAAAAAACAATATCAACCCAATTTCCACCTAAACAACCCTAAATCAGTTCCACAATTCCAGACAATTACAGACAATTGCAAACCCGATTTAACTTCGAATTAGAAAGGAAAAGAAAAAGGAAATGAAAAACGAAAATGGAAAAACAAAGAGTGGGGTGTATTACAATCACTCACTTTTATGATGGTGTGATGTACACGCACCGTTAAGATGGAAGGAAAAAGTAACGGAACTACCTCAATCAAACCTCAAGGGGGTAATGTGCCAAAATTGATACCACATGGGGGTCATCTGCCAAATGGTGAAAGCACAAGGGGGTTAAGTGCTATTTACCCTAAATTATTCTAATAATGTATTACACTTAATATTTCAGGGTTTCATGGCACGATCTCAAAGCATTGATAAAAAAAATTCAAAAATAAGTAATATTTATAAATTTTATTTAAAATAATACAAGTTTTAAGCATCTTATTTTATATTTTACATTAAATATGATATATTTATCTATAATATATATAAGATTATGGAGAAGAAACAAAAAGAGGTAGTAGGTTAAAACACATATTTACAAAAATTTTGTGGGGACCAAAAGTAATATTCAAAAAATAAAATACCAAATATTTAAAAAAAATAAAAAAAATTATTGGGGGGTCATCAGCCCCTGCCCCTTGCAAGTACCACCCCTGCATCTAGTCGTGTATTGCTCATGGCTAGAAGGGCAAAAGTGTCATTTCTGTTGAGCTTTAATTAAGTTAAATGATTTTAAGCAAATAAAAATAAGCTCATTACTTAAACTTAATTAAAAGTATTTTAGGGACATTAACTATATTCATTGTTGTGATTAATATTTTCGTTTTTTTATAATAATGTAGCAACCTGCAGTTAACCATATAGGTGCATTTGGGTAAACTTACACTCTTGTATAATAGCACAGTATGCTAACTATGTGTGACAAGCTCATCATAAAAGAAATCGTAAAAGAAGAATTTTTAAAACACTCTTGTATAATAGCACACTATGCTAACTTACACTCTTGTTGGTTTATGATGGAAGAATTTTTCTTAATTATTTTTCTTAATATTACAAATACTAGTATATGGAGTAATTAACATTTTGGGGATCACTATTTCAAATCCCAACTTTTGCTTACTTGAATACCAAAAAAATAAAAAATAAATAATTAATTGTAAATTACTTTAATACCCTTAATGAAATTAAAACTAAAAAAATATTACAAATACTATTTTTCTTTCTTAAATACCAAATAATCAAAAACTCAAAAAACCATTTCCCTCCTTCTCCACCTCCTTCTTCTCCCTCCCCAAAAACCCTTCTAAAAAATCTTCCTCACAACAAACCCTTCTAAAAAATCTCACAACAAACCCTTCTAAAAAATATCAAAACTAAAGAAATTAAAACCTCACAAAACGTATAAAATTGAGTTATAAGACAATAATATGGTAGTATATATGAAAGGAGAACACATTAAGGTAAGTATCGATGTCTTTTTTGAGCTTCGAAGTCGATTTTGAAGTTTTTTTTTTTTGAAACCCGTCGGCAATTTTCGACACATACAGGTCGATTTTTTGGTCAATTTTCGACACCAACGTGTCGGAAAAGAAAAAAAAAAAAAAAAACCAAATTTCGACACCTACCTGTCGAAAATTGGCCGAAGTTCGACAGGTATATGTGTCGAAAATTGCCGACGGGGTTTCAAAAAAAAAAACTTCAAAATCGACTTCGAAGCTCAAAAAAGACATCGATACTTACCTTAATGGCTTCTCTTTCCACATATACTACCATATTATTGTCTTATAACTCCATTTTATAAGTTTTGTGAGGTTTTGATTTTTTGAATTTGGAGATGTTTTGGAGGATTTAAGAAGATGAAAAAGATAGGGTTTAATTGGGTTGTCGCGGCAGTTACGAGCACGTACGGTGGCGTTCGGCGGCGGCGGCGGCGGCGGCGTCGGCGGCGGCGGCGGCGGTCAAGGTTGGAGAGGAGAAGAAATGGTGGAGGTTTTTTTTTTTAACAACAAAGGGTTTTTTTCTTTTTTTTTTATTTGGTTTTTGAATAGGTAATTTCTAATAAAATTTGATATAATTGATATTTTGTATGAAAGGGTGTTTTTGTAATTTTCTTTTTATTTTGGTTTTAAAGTAAGAAAAAACTTATAAATATGTACTCAATTGTGGTTTTCAACTAGGTAGTATTCAACTAAGCAAAAATTAGTATTCAAAATAGTTGCCCCCTAACATTTTTAGGGGGAAAAAAAAATTGTAAATTGATTTAGGTGGAAAAAAACCAAATCATAAAAGAAATCGTAAAAGAAGGTTATAAAAGACACACACGCGTCTTTGATTGTTGATTCAGGCAGCAACAATATTATCTAGAAACCCTAGAAAGCTACTCAAGAAAAAGAAAAAAAAAAAGGCCGAGTGTGCTATTTAAATAATTTCACAGAGTGCCGCCAAGAAAAACAGATCGAAAACATAAGCAGATCGAAAACCTAGAAACCTCAAGAAGAAAAGCAGATCGAAAAGCTAGAAACTTCAATTATGGCAATAATCGAAGAAAGGTCAATAATTGGGCAAAAGAGAAAGAGTTCAGTTGTTTTTACGGCAATCATCGAACAAGATGAAAGGAGAAAGAGGTGTGTTGTTTTTACGGAAATCGAAGAAGAAAAAAGTTGGGAAGAGGAAGAAAGTTCGGAAATTGTTTATCTTCCCGATGAAATTATCGAAACGATTCTGTCGAAATTACCGGTGAATTGTCTGCTTAGAAATAAAACGGTTTCAAAATCATGGAATACTATGATCTCCGATCCTTTGTTCGTTAAGAATTATCAAGGAGAATCATCTTCTTCTTCGACCGTTTTTCTATCTCATCTACTCTTCAGTACAGATTTTGATTTGGTTAAATTCAAAGATCTAAATATTCGAGCAGTACAACAACTGAGATCCCCTCCATCATGTCCTTACAAAATGTTGTGCTATTGCGATGGCGTCCTACTTTTAGCCCATCCTTATTCCAAGGATTTTATGTTGTGGAACCCGGCTAGCGAAAACCGACCTAAATCGTTTATCTCACAAAACCATTATAGCTTCAACTTCAACTCTGTGTTGAGTTATGGGCTTTGTCACGATCCCACGGTTGGCGTTTTTAAGTTTGTTCTAATATTTATCGAGGGCTACCTAGTTTTTTCCGACAAGTACAAAGTCGGCTTCTGCACTTGGAAAGAATTCGAAGAACCGACGATGAGGGTTCCGGAAGTGGTGAATAATCGTTGTGGAGTGTCTGCGGATGGGGTTATCTATTGGGTTACGTGTCGAGAAATTATTTATTTTGATCCCAGAGACGACAAGTTCAAGATTTTACCTTTTTCTTCAAATCTTGATGATGATGATGATGATGATGGATTGTTTTACTTGACTGAATTGAGAGGCTGCTTGTGCATGTATCGCAACAAAGGCGGAGACAAGACGAAGGTTCGAATCTTGATTAAGGGAAAGGGAAGGGACAATAATTCTTGGAAGGATTTGATAACTATCGAGAATGTGGAGACGCCGATTTCCTCGTTTGAGCCCAAATATTTCTTGGAAGACAAGATTTTTATCCTATTACACACTCAAATTGTATCGTTTGAACCTGCTAGTTTGTTAGTCATCTACAACCCTTTCCGGAAGACGTTCGAAGAAGTTGAACTCTCCAAGTATCGTGATTTGGTTCCGTATATTCATAATCCCGACATCCTAAGTAGCTGGTAGGGTGTGGATCTAGCTTCAATATTTATTTATTTCTTTGTAAGGAGTTGTTTTTTTATTTTTTTATTTTTTAAATAATGTGAAACGCAGTTTGAATATTGTTTTGGAGTTGTTCTTGGATTTGTAAGTGTTATTTGATGATAGTCTTTGGATTACAGAGTTTGCACTCACAATCATAATGTTCATACTTTGATTATATAGTTTAAACACATATTATTTTCTTTCGGAAAAAATCAGAATATTATTCGATTACAACATTCAAGTTATTTCTTTTATAGCCATCCGTCATGATATCAAGAATTTGTAGGCAGCAGTCCAGTTTGATCTTTAGCTGCTTTAGTAATTAGGCTCATCAAATTTTCACTGTTTCTTCGGGTTTTTCTTTCAAACAATCAACTACCAAATTACTCAAAACAACTATCTTTTTTTTCGTTTTTTCCTGCATAATTAACATTAAAATAACTGTAGGAAAAGAAAAACAACGAAAAAAGTAGTTTGTAATTGCAGGTTTAGCAAAAATAAAATCAACATCGAATTACGAAACTCAACTGTAAGAATATCAAAATCAACTATAAAATTGTCAAAATCAACTTCAAAAAAACCGAAATCAGATATAAAATTATAGAAATCAACTAAAAATTATTGAAATCAACCAAAAAGTATCGAGATCAACTATATAATATTGAAAACAACTACGATTTATCAAAATCAACTACAAATCAGAACACCCCAATTGCATAAATAAACTACTATATAATCGAGCGAATACAGCTACAAAAACACCATCTCCCCTAGTCCAATGGCGGAGGGCGACAATTTATGGTGGCGGTGAAGGACGATGCCACGTACAAATATACCATCTCCCCCAATCCACGCGGAGGATTTGATTTATAGCGGCGGATGAAGGGTGAGGCCGCAACGGACGTCGATCATAAATCCACCCTCCCTAATTACAACAATTCAATTCTCCTCCCACAATTCCATGTTGAGCACCCTAGCCAGTCGGGTTACGGTGACTACCCCGATTCCAATTGTTCGCTCATATCTTCCGCACACAACTTTTTGGGAGAAAACATAGGGGCAAATTTTTTTTTTTTTTTTTGGCTTTTTTATTTTGTTTGATTTGATGGCCATTCGACGTAATAATATATCTGTCGTTGACGGTAAAATTACAATAAACACAATAATATTATTGTCAAATACATCAATATTATTTAGTTTTTTGCCTTTTTATTTTGTTTTATTTGTTGACCGATTAACGTAATAGTATTACTGTCTACTATTGCAATATTACTTTAAACACAATAATATTACTATAGTTGACAGTAATATTGCTATCAACCACATCAATATTAATGATTTTGGCTTTTATTATGTTTGCATTTGTTGAACGGTCAACATATTAATATTATTATATTAAACAATAATAGGAATTTTTGTTGTGTTAATATTATTGTGCTAGAGAGTAATATAGCAATATGACTATGTTAACAATAATATAGTTAATATTAATGTGTTAAATAATAATATAGTTAACACGACTTCAACCCCAACAATATTACTCTTTAAACGGGTAGAAAATGTCGAAGAAAAAAATTCAAAAAAAAAAACAGAGGAAAAAAAAAGGTCAGCGCCGTCGGAGACCGGTGTTAACTGTGGGACCCGGGCTTATTTGCCTATTTCATCGGATCTTTATAAATGGCCCTAAACATTGAGCTAGCCCACAAGTGTAGGCCCAAATAATATTGTACATTGTGAATAGAAACGAACTAAGGGACCCCGACGAGTTGAGACTTGAGAGCTCTTCGACGAGCTGGAGACATCTAAATGAGCTAAAGATAGCTCACTAGTGTCGAGTGCCGAGTGTAGAGTCCCGAGCAACAAACCGACGAGCGTTGAGCGCCGAGTGACGAGCCGACGAGCGCCGAGTGACGAGCCCCAAGTGTCGAGCGACGAGCTGAAGATGCCACCTCATAACTTAGACACTAAGAATAGAAAATATCTTCATAACTTAATCACTAAGACTTATTGTCATGGACTTGAAACAATTCTATTAATCGAATTGGATAGAAGCAATGGCATCCGGAAAACCTCTACTATAAATAGAGGGTTCATAAACCTCAAGGTAAGTATTCTTGATCTTAACACATTATTTTATCTCGAATATATTATCTCCGTATCTTTAAGGTGTTCTAACTTGGGCGTCGGAGTGCTAACGTTTGGAGTACCTTTCCCGGTCCCTTTTGCACGTCCGCGACGAACAGGCCTAACATGGAACGGACTTAAAGAATCGAGATTCCTCGAAGCGGAAAAACCCAACCGCATCAATTGTTGTGGTGGATAGTAATATTACTGCCAATGGCAGTAATATTATTGTCAACCACAAATATTAGTGAGGTCGACAGTAATATGATTGCCAACCACAGTAAAATTACAATACTAGAAGTAATATTACTGTCAACCACAATAATATTGTTACGATGAAGAGCCAACAAAATAGAAAAACAAAAAAAAATTATGTGGTTGACAGTAATTTATTGTCGACCGCAACAATATTACTATCAACAATCAGCGGCCGGAGGAAGAAAAAAAAAGCATGAAAGAAGAAATTTACAAAAAAAAAAAAAAGTCAACGCCGCCGATTAGCGGTGGCAGAGTAAAAAAGAAAAGGTCAACCGTCAGTCTTTGGCGGCAGAAAAATATAATTAGAAAATAAAAAGTTTGGAAAAAAAATTAAAATCAAATTTGTGTGGTCAAAATTGATGAAAGAAAGTAAACTTAAATTTGTATGATCGAAATTGATGAAACTGGAATTAAATTAGGGTTATAATTAAGAATTGAGTTTAAAAGGTGTAAAAATAATATTGTCATACGCATTAGTTTGTATTTGTCTATAATACATATTAAAGGAATAAGATTATTAGCGAAATAAATAAAACACCTGAATCAGGATTAATAAAAATAGTTGGTCAGTTAGGTATGCATAAAAACCCCTAAATTTCACAAGTTGATGCTACAAACAACATACAAGTATATTAAAAATTTTGCTTGCATAACTTAAATATATTGATATAGCTTCAGAAGTTGTCCCTGACATCTAAGCGAATAAATAGAATAAATCTCAACCCTTCAAACTACAATAATAATCACTTAAATTCAGCTTTATAACTTTCTACACAAACTCCACTACTAATAAATTACATGACAAGAAGCACCAAAAGTATCAGATACCATTTCCTCCACAGGGGTTTAGCACCTTGTCCACACCAAGGAAGTCGGCATTTTGCTTAACGAGTTCAAGTTTGAGGAGAGATTTGACGACTTGCTTCATCGTGGGCCGTTGATTTTCGTCTCCATTTACGCACTCGAGCATTAGCATAGTAATCTTATGCCCATCATATGTACAAAAATCATCTTCATCTGCTAAACTTTTGTGGACAAGTGAAAACTCGGTTTTCGATTCAGACAGGGGTGGAACCAGGATCAAAATGTAGGGGGGCTAACTAAAATGTAGGATCAAAACATTGCAAAAAATAATACTAATTTTTAATTAAAATATCAAATATATAATAATTATATCATATTTTAATCATCACATAAAATTCTAAACTAGTTCAAATTATTGTAATAATGTATTGCACTTAATATTTCAGGGATTCAGGGCACGATCTCAAGGCATTGATAAAAAAAATTCAAAAATAAGTAATATTCATAAATTTTATTTTAAATAATACAAGTTTTAAGCATCTTATTTTATATTTTATATTAAATATGATATATTTATCTATAATTTATATAAGATTATGGAGAAGAAACAAAAAAAATAATGGATTAAAACACATATTTACAAAAACTTTGGGAGGGCTAAAAATAATATTCAAAAAATATAATACCAAATACCTCAAAAAAAAATTTTTTTTCCTTGCAAGTACCGCCCCTGGATTCAGAGGCTTCTTCATATTCCCTAAATGCCCATTCAAATACAAACGGCAAACCAGCTTTCCTGTCTTCTTGCGTGTAAACCCTCTTCGATATCAAACTAAGAAGTATAACACCAAATGCAAACACGTCTTGCTTGGTCGACCAACGACCTGTAAGAAATCCAAATACTCTTTATTTATTAATAAGGTACCATAGTAAATGCTAGGATTTACCGTAGCAAAAAAGTACTTGCTACGGCCATTTACCGTAGTAAAGTTTTTGTCACGCTCGTATATGCTACGGGGCAAACTCGTAGCAAATGTGTAACAAAAACTTTTTTACTACGAATTTGGTACATTTTACTATGGTTAATGGTCGTAGTAAAAAACCATTTTCCTACTAGTGTCTCAACATGCCCTTTGATATAATATTGGGTCCGCTTGGTGTTTTGTGTAGAAGTGTCTGAATAACTAACTATTGTTGGATTATCTTGGACAATCTAGGGGTTTTTTTTCTTGTTTTTTTATCAAAGAAAACAAAGAAAAACGGTGAGAATATTTGAAAATATTGAAAAACAAAGTCAATGAATTTTGTATGGAAGCTTGAAAGATCGTGAGATGGAGTTCATTGAGGGTGGGTTACTCACTCCCAATTTTAGGAAGGGTATTTTTGTCTATAATTTATATAGGGACTTTATCGGGACAAATATATTTTTGGTCCTCCACGATTATGACAAAATATTAAGTTTATAAAAAAAAAATCCTATATTGCTTAGAAAAAACATTTTTCTTATGTCGCCCACCGTGGGGCTCGAACCCACGACCACAAGGTTAAGAGCCTTGCGCTCTACCAACTGAGCTAGACGGGCTAATATTGCTTCATTTTAACTGATCAATTAATATAGCAATATTTACGAGGCTGATTTTATTCTTATAAACATAGGGTGTAAATTAACACTGGAGGAGTTGGAATAAATGGAGAGATTATTCGGATATGAGGACTACCTTGGATGAAGGTTGAATGGAACAAATCATAAGTAGTCTTTGCGAAAAAAAATTGAATTTTTTTAAAAGTACAAAATT